ATAGATAGATAGATAGATAGATAGATAGATAGATAGATAGATAGATACTGTTGGAAGGATGATAGATTTACAAAGAATAAGTTTTACTCCTTGAGTCAGTATCACAGAGACATTTCACACAGGCAAAATGCAGCTTTGATAATATAGTTACCTTATCCATCCTTTCACGACGAGTTTCAAACCATGTGTGTTCTGACGACCATCAGAGGAGGCTGTCTTCTTTTATCCCAGAGTTTGGAATTCCCCAAATGTCTGATCTGATGTTGTTTTGTGCAAAGAATATCTTGTCTTCTTTTGGGAAATTGGCCAATCATTATTAGGCCCCGATGCCCAGCTTGTGGTCTACATCACGTTCTGCAAAGACTCTTAAAAGCATTTACATACCGGCAGTATTTTTTAAGGCCTTGCTGGTAAACGGTGAAATGAAATCATTTGGACGTCATTGATTGCCCTCGGGTCTTCTCTCATATCTGCAGCTATTTCATAGTAAATACATAGAATTCCTCTTAAATCCTGCTCACGTTTTTTTGTTAAAAACTGCAATCCTCATTCTCAAAGTAAAAAAAAAGAAAAAGAAGAAACTAAAGACGCACAGGTTAAATGTCTGTCTTCATTTTTGTATTCAAGTGTTCCAGAAACACGTCACCAGATTTTTCTTTTGAGTGATGATAACAAAAAGAAGAAAGAAAAAAAGCTAATCTCAGAGAATGGGAAGCAAGAGAATATCCACGCCCAAGTTTCTCAAGTTTTCAATGAAAATGATGTACCCAAAATCTCAACAAACTTAAAGTAATTCCTGGAAAAGCAAAACGTTTCGTCCCAAGGCGTTGTAGCTCCGACAGATGCGCACGAAGTCTTAGTGGATCCAATTTTGTGTTACCTGGGAAATTAGGAACAGACACTCTTCCAGCATGGAAAACACTTACGAACACTGAGGTAAGTGGCCAGGAGTAAATTGTTAAATGGAGCATGATTACCAGAGAAAACATCAATTGAAGGGTGCCATGTCTTCTTTGAGCAAAATGACAGGCAAAAACAGTATTGGGCCATAATCATTTTGATTTCTTCTTTATTTGGCCCACAACTAACAGTATAGATGTACGGAAATGAAATATACCTCTTCTAAATTTTGAAAATAAATGTTGAGCACTTTTAGCCCATGCCATCTCCCTTTTCATCCTCTTTGGTTTTGAATAGATGTCAGCTTCACTTCTAAATATGTTGAAGATCAATAATATACTCTGTTATTGTCAGCACAATGTCTAAAAGTAATTTCAAGCAGTCTGTGTGTTACAATATGTTAAATGGTACAATGTTCTAGAAGATAAGGTTTTTGTTTGGTATTATAATGTTTCACACGCAAAACCACATGTATATAACACTTAAACTTGACTGTTTACAATAATGTATTTGGTTTTTCATATTCAGGTTAATCATGTACATGTTCAGTTTGAGTCATTTATGGGTACATGAACTGTAATTAATGTATATGTTACATGTTTTCTATGTGAACTATAATTCATTTATATATGACATGTTTTCTATTACTTTTTAATTGCAAATTTCGAATCTGGTCGAAAAGCGGAACATTGTAAACAGCATTGCGCTTGTTTTTACCGAGACCGAATTCCGCCGGACCGGTCTGGGGTCTATGACGTGTGACTGATTACTGAAGTAGATTTTCAACTGTTGAGGAAACGCTGTGTACGTTGCGGTTTGGAAGTTTAACGTTTAGTCTGCATATCTGCCAGCTTGAGTTTATCTGAGTGATCAGCAGTTTTGTTTGAAGGTGTATCAGGCGGAGTTGCTGTTCATTTACGTGGTAAGTTTCGCCAGGCCTCACGTACATTAGTTAGCATTTGTGGCTAACTAGGTTGACTATTTAGCAATTGTGCGCAATTTGTCATTAGGTCGTATCCAGATAGTCATCAATGTGTTAGTCTTTTTGTTACTTATACCGCAGAAGTCTGCCTAATGACAGTATAGGTACAATCTAAGTCTAACTCAATGAACGGTTAGCTTAGAAGCTGTGAACAAGTCAGCTACTTTCACTTCTCAGCTAAGTCAGCTGAGTTTCTTTATCTCTTGTGCTGTTAGCTGATATGCTAGCTAGCTGAGCTGAACAAGGGATAACACACTTGTGATTCTGTCATGCTTAGACCAGCGTATCTTCTGCCACATAGGAACCAGGCCTGATCCGGAGGAAACATGAAGCTCTACAGCCTCAGCATCCTCTACAAAGGAACGACCAAATCGAATCTCCTGAAGGCGGCCTATGACCTGTCTTCCTTCAGCTTTTTCCAGCGCTCCAGGTGCGTCTGACCACAGTATTTGTTAATAAATCATTTAGTCTTTGTAAGTTTTATTTGGTTTGCTATTATTTTTCTATAGAAAATGTTAGTGAGAGAGCTCTCATTTAAACTTTTCAATTTGTTTACTGTTTTGATGTATTTTTCATAAGTCAAAGTGTTGTTTTGGTTTGTTTAGTGTTCAAGAGTTCATGACTTTCACCACTGCCTTAATCGTCGAGCGGACGTCACAAGGAACCCGTGCCTCAGTCAAAGAACAAGGTAATGCTGAGAGTTTGTGCTGCTTTTGACGTTTGGAATCAATTCATCTTTGTCATTATCTTATTCATTGTGATGATTAGGACTACTAGCAGAGGTTACCTCATACACCCCAGTTTTTTGCAATATAGAACTGACAGGCTACAAACTCTTCATCAAATGGAAAGTTTAAAAAAAAAAAAAAAGAAAGAAAAACCTTTGTGTTTTCAAGAAGATCCTAGATATCGAAGTAAATTGCACCGCCCTGAATGGAAGGAATATAATTGCTTTTCTCAACATCATGTTTGGCTTCTTCTTTTCCTACCAGAGTACCTGTGCCATGTGTATGTGAGAAATGACAACTTGAGTGCTGTGGTCATCGCAGACACAGAGTACCCACAGAGGGTCTGCTTCACATTGCTGGACAAGGTGAGGGTAGAGATGTTTTTGCAGAGCTTGGCTCGTTGTCTCAGCACTGAGACAGGACTCTTGTTTGTTTTTGTTTGTTTTAAGGTTTTGGAGGAGTTCTCCAGACAAGTGGAAAGTATAGACTGGCCATCTGGTAATCCTGACACTGTAAACTACAAAGCCCTGGACATTCACCTATCAAAGTATCAGGTGTGTTTTTCAAAATGTTAATCTATGTTTAATGGTTTCTTATTATTTAACCTGAGTAGAGTTTGGCTGCTGTTTTTGGTGGAGTACAATTTTAGAAAATGCTTTCAAGCATAGTTTTATAGCTGCTTGCCTGATAACAGAATGTTTTTTATGTATTTTTTTTTCCACAGAACCCCAGAGAAGCAGATGCAATGACCAAAGTGCAAGCAGAACTGGACGAGACAAAGATCATTTTGGTAAATCCTCTCCTTAAGAAGAGACTCGGGACATTAACATAGACTGAAATATGCAAAACGAAACAGGATTTATTTGAGCGTGTCATGTAGTGGCTGCATGCCCTGGTTGCGACATCGTGGATTTGTTTTTAAACTATTTAAAACACGTGTTTATAATATATCTGTGGTCGTGCATCCACTGCATGTATTTTCATCCCGTTATAAGACTCCCTTAATCATGGACTGTGATAAGAACTATGGTGATCATACCCCCAAGAAAGCAGATGCTCAGTGCTAATGTCAGAAACAAATGGACAAAATACAAATTTCTCTGTTGAGATTAAAGACTTCATTAGTCGAAGGTGTACAAAACTACTTGACTTATTTGCTCAAACTGTAGTGATGGCTGATGTGTGAGCTGTCAAAGCAGCAGCAGTCTAGATGTAGAGAGGCAGAATCACATTGAGGGAGCAGTTAAGTGGAGCTAAGAAAACTGAACGGTGACGGAGTTAAGCTGGACTCGTGCTCTCATGTCAGAGGGCTGCCAGTTTAAGTGGCCTACATCTGTAAGAGCATGTATAAGCATGTGGTGTGTATGTGTTGGTTTTCAGTTTATGCCCCTGCTTTACTGTGGGGAAGAAAATGCTATTTGGAGAAGCAGATAGAATTATTTTTTTTTATTAAAAAAAAGGATACACATTATGAAATCTCTGTATGAAATCCACTTTAGATTCGGGTAAAACCAGGCAAATGTTTTTAGCGATTCAGAACATGATGTCTAACGTCTAGTTTAGTAAAACTGCTGGAAGAGTGCCCAAAAGGAGAAGGTCTGTTCCTCTATCAGGAGGAATCGAGCTTTAAAAGTTGTCAGTTTCAGCTCGTAAACTGTAGCTTTTAGATGAGCCCTGACGGGCAGCTTTGATTTTTGCTCCACCTGTTGGTGGCTTCAGTGATGTGGCCAAACGTACAGTATGTCTCCAACATGCTGGAACTCTTTCATGGACTCGGCCGTTGCAGCCCAGTCTGCTCTTTCCAGCGTTGGTTAGGTGTTTAGAGAGGGGCTTTCCTGAGCAGCGTCCCGCCACGGCACAGGAAAATGAGACGGCGTGATCCGTAATTGAATCATAGCAGGCACATAACCACTCAAACTGGATTAAACCATTTCTGAGGGATTATTGTGAGTCGTTTTAACTTAACTGGGCTATTCATCGCGTTGCGCCTCTCACCAAAATGAGCGTCTCTCTCTCTCTGCAGCACAACACGATGGAAAGCCTGCTGGAACGAGGAGAGAAACTGGATGATCTGGTGGCAAAATCAGAGCACCTGGGCAACCAGTCCAAAGCCTTCTACAAGACTGTAAGTCACGCCGACTCGCCTTATTAGCAGCAGGCCGGGCTCTCGCTGGCCTGCCGCCGTTTACAGTGTCTGTGTGTGTGTGTGTGTGTGTGTGTGTGTGTGTGTGTGTGTGTGTGT